CCTTTTACGCTTTCCAGATTTCCTTCTCTTACTGAGCATGTATCTTCTAAATTACCTTCTCCAGTTAATTGCCTCAACTTTCCAATTTACACCTCTCAGTATTTGGCAAGAGTCCTACTTCCCTGCTAGCTTTCCCTTCCCTCCTTCATCCCACCTGTAAATTATTTCCTTGTTCTTCCTAACTGTCTGACTTTTAATCCATTTTGTTTTCTATTTCTGAACTCCGGACCCTTTCTCGAAAAGATTCCTCAGACTAAATATATTAATACATTCTACTTCTGTATCTTGCAGACTTCACTACACCCAATAAGGATTCATCGATGCCCAGCTTCACGCAGTGCCTTTGGAAACGATGTATTTGTGTTTCTGCAGGTTTGTACTGGAGGGAGGAAGCAGAGACTCCTGCACCACCATGACGAGACAGGGATGAAAGTGGATTTGTGAACATTTTCTCCTGTTTCACCTCATGGACCCAACTTTTAAATCTCTATTAAGCTGCTTTCCTGAAATTTAGCATCTTTCTACCAGCACAGTCTCTTTAGCATCCACATCTAACATTAATCTTTAATGGTGAGTCTCTAGGGTCTTCATCAGCCTGTTAACACTGGCTGTGTACAAACCTAAACCAAAATCATGTAATCATTACCCAGTATAGTCAAAGTAGGTGTTTTTTAAAGACTTATTTCTTTCTGGGCATGAACTGACCAAAACTAGAATAAGAGCACTGAAGATGTCAAGTGCTAAGGTCTGTTGGCAGAGACCCGTGGGCAAGGCTACAATTTTCCACGATCCTCCAACTTCATTACCTGTGGCAGTAAGCAAGAAAAAACCCCAAACAGTCACAAGTCATGGGAATAAAAAATTCAGCAAAAGGTGAGCAAGGAATGATGAGAAAAACATCGAGCTTCATCTAAGACCCTGTAACATGCAGATAGCCAGAAGAAGATTGATTTTGACAAAATCTAAAAAAAGTAAGAAAAAGTGAAAGACGTTTCTTTTGGAGCCTGAGCTCTGCCTCTCCTTACAGAGGGCTCTGATAGCTGGGAACTGTTTACCCACGAGTGCACACACACTCAACTTGTGTTCCATAAGCCCTTAAAAAATGTTGATCTGTGTAAACGCTGCCATTTTTTCCTTTGCTGGAAGGAGAAATCTTGCAGTCTCTGCAATATTCTAATCCTGCCTAGAAATTCTACTTCTAAAGCAGACAAAGGGAATAAAACATCCGAACTTGTTCACACCTCTGCCCTACATGGTGATTTTACTTATTTCAGTTCAAGAAACAGCAGAGATTAGATGGACAATACAGAAGTAGGGAAATGTAAACAGCACCAGCCCATATTCCCTCTTCTTCTCTACTGAAATGCATGAAACAGCTTTATCCCCTAATGTGGTGCATCTTTCTTGTTAATAAAAGATGAAAATGCATCTCTGCATTATTTAATATACTTTATATATCCAGCTCCTGCACATGCTTCAGAAGGCTCTTCATTTCCTGCCCTCTGCAGAGCAGCGTTCAGGTAACTCCGTCAAAAAGGTCCCCAACAGCAGAGGCTGCAAGGACAGCTTTATGGAATATATCTGGTTTTGTCTAACTTGTCCTTAAAAACATCCAGCATGGGATGCTGTGGCATGCCTGGGCAGACTCCTTCCTTCCTCACACATCCGCAGAAGAAGTTTTTCCTAATTTTGCTTTTAAAATTCCCTGAAAACAGAGACAGGCGTTCCTCTGTGGATGTGAAGAACATCTGAGCACTGCCCTTGCAGCGCACTCCCTAACGCCGGCCCTCTCACTCAATGTGAGAAAGTATGAGAAATGTTTTGTGTTGCTCCTGGTTTCTCTTCAGGGCTGTCACACTATCACAACTTTTTTACTGATGCAACACGGTGCAAGATGAAAATCAGGCCTTCCATCTTACAGCATCACATGCTCTCTGAAGTCCTAGCTCAGGAGGACTCCTTTCATATCAGGCCCTGGAAACATTTATCCTGAGGTTAACCTTTTATACCTCGCAGCGGTTAGCTTTCCGCTGGGCCCACACAAGCCTTTTTGCTTGATGGAAAGACAGAAAAATTGCTGCCCTCCCTTACCATCACATTTTCTGCCCTGAGCACACCACGGTTGTGTCTTGCCTCATCGCCAGCCTGCTGCTCCTGCATCTTACTGCACTGCAGAGGGGCGGCTGAGCTGGTCCTCCAGGCAGCCACCCCAGCCCCTTCGGTAGAAGGCTGCCCAAAGCCCTGCAGGAGCTCAGCCGGACCTACAGCTGCTTCTTTCCCCAAAGCAAGAGAAAACACAGAAGCTGCTGAGAGGTGTCCTACCTGCAGGGAGGCACTGGCCCTGGGTTCTCCTGGGGCTCAGGACTGATCCCATCTGTTATCCTTCCATGAGACACTAACGCCGTCTTTGACTTTTGCTGCTTGCTTTGTTTGATGTTGTTACAGATGTTCTTTTATTCCCTACCCTCTCGCACAATCTGTCTATTCATACAAATCCCGATTTTTCTGCCTGCAGGTACAGAATTTAGCTTAATTGCATAATTAAGATGTCCATCCTTGACTTCAAGCCCCTATGCAAACCACATGAAAGGTACACGCTGAAAATTTCCGAAGTCTGCAGGATTTACAGCCAAGATAACTAAGCATAGTAGCACAAGTTATGGACTTTCAGTCAAAATGAATGCAAATATCACAAAGCAGATAGACCTTCCCTATGCAAAGGTACACTGGTAATTGTGGTTTAGCGAAAGAGTTATGGTTAGTTGGGATAGACCCTCATATTTCCATGAAACACACTAATAAGTAAATAACGTTAAAATGATCTTACTTTAAAATTATCTAACTCAATCCAGTTTGCTGCTGTTATTGTTAAAAACAACCTTTTAATTCCCCTCTTCTCTTTCAAGTCATGACCAGTTATTTACAGTCCAAGCTGTGCTTCAGTTAATTGTTTTGTCTAGCAATACTAATTACAGATCAGCAATTTCCACTGATGTCATTACCACAACAAATCTTAAAGAAGAACCTAGAAATATGTTTCTTCTTCTTTTTCAGAGGCACATACAGCTTTCACAGTGACCTTTTCACCCTGAGTTCATATTGACTCGGACATCCTTCATTCCTCTATATTAGCATTCCTAAATCACAGAAATGACATCAAAGAAACCATAAGGGTCTGACTTTTATCACCAAAATAAATTCTGATTTAATGTACTCTTTGCAGTACTTAGGCACAATAGGATACATGATTAGAGCATAGTAGAGTTAACGGTATGCCCATCGTGCCTTGTTAACTGAGGATGCATGGTATACTCCCGCTTAAAATTTGAACTTTGCAGCCATTACGGGTTTAATTTGGACCCTTGGGGTTACATAGGTATTGAAGACTGGACACATCACATCCGTTACTGTTAAAAGTGGCTGCACGCACAATCGTTGATGTTTAACACAGCAAATTAGCTTTTTCTACTTTCATTTCTGATTACTATATCTTTTGCTTCAAAAAAACCCTAGCCCACAGTTTAAATAAAATGTCTTGAAAATGACAAATGCTTGACCTTTGCTTTAATGGCATAGCTCTGAAAGAAGCGGAGCAAAGCACACCTAAGAACATGGGAGTCTGACTGAAACCAGCAAGGCTACTTATAACCACCATGATAAGGATGTCTTCGAATGCTTTTCTGGATTGGGACCAGAACCCAGTGGAATCAACCCCTCATTCTGACTGCAGACACGCACACAGATTTTAGGTGGGTTTGGTAAGAGAGACTGTTATTAAATTTGTTTGACAGATCCATATTTAAGATGCAGGTTTTACACACAAGATGCCTGCCTGAAGCTGAGTATTTCAGGGGGAAAAAACCCAAACAAAATGGTTGAATCACTTCTGAGAAAATACATAATTTGATCTGACATAACCTAACTTGTGAGTTTTTTAATTTGCAAACTTAAACTGTACCCCCTTATACTTCTTAGCAGCTCCAGCAGTAAAATACAGAGGGAGATACGTTAGTCTCCTGTTTGTTCAATGGGTATATCATATTGTGTTCATGCCCCAGGTTGAAAGTATGCACTGTTTTAAAACGTAAATGTATTTTTAGTTACTAAATTTAATTCTAGGAGTAAAAATACTTTTTAGATTTATATACACAAATTTGATCTCCAGAATTTTATATACATATATATTAACTGTCTCTTGTTAAGCAAGAGACAAAACCATCTCCTTTATATAACATTCATTCATTAAGCCAAAAAATGCCTGGTGTTGCCAGATGTAGCTAATACAAACAAACCTACAAAATGTGTTTTTTAATTAAAAGCCCATTTTCTGATCTGGCAATGTGAAATAAACGGTTATCAGATTGTTAAGTCTGACAACACTGAATTGGCTCTTTGTCTATGGCACAGATTTCACACTTATCTGCATGCTTAAGTGCTGCGCTGGACAGCAACAAAATGACAGTCACCCTTCCCAAACAAACCCCCTGGGAACCTGGACGAATGCTTGGTATATCAGGGGCTTCGCTCTAATAAGATGCTACATCAGAAAAACGAAGAAGTATCCCATTTGCATTCAACAGAAATAGACAGCAATTCTGTGGCAATTCCCTCACACACGTCAATGTCCCGGTGTCTCCAAAAAACCCTGCGAAGTCCAGCAAACGATGGGAAAGGCTAGCCCTGTGCAGCTCAGCCCGACTCAAGGGCCCGCCTAATTTGGCTGACTATCAGTGAGAGAACTCTTTTTTAACCGCCAGATCTGCTCACAACGGGTTTGTTAGAAGCAGGGTTTGTTCCAATGAACTCGGGCTGCAGTGCAAACTTAAGCACGATGCTTTGAAAAGAAGGGGGTGATTTTTCGGTCGTGGCAATGGTCCTTTTGACTCAAATTGGAGGAAGAGGAGCAGACCCTCTGTCAATGCCACTGTCAGGCTCTGAAGGTAACCGCGCACATGCACTCAATATACAGGCAACTGCTGTGGCAACAGTAAATGCTTCACCTTGCCATGCATGAGAAGGCGTATGGTAAGCGTGACATTGAGACCTCCTTCAGTCACTTTTGTGTCCTTCGTGTTCATCCTGGCCTTGTATCTTCAATACTTGAAAGCAGCTTCGTTTTTCGCTTTTTTTTTCTATTCACTTGATCAACCTATGAAGACAGAGAGAGAGAAAAAGTATCATTGAGTGGCTGAAGCTATTCTGAACTGAGAATATCATGTTGTACAAACCAATTAACATTCCTCCCTTTGATTTTCTGGACTACAGTTTAGTGCTGAAAAGGCTCCTTTGATTATTATCCCTCCCCAACCAACTCTTTAGCACTTCACCAACTGCAAGATAAACTCCCTTTTGAAACCTTAAAAATTCTTTTAAACTTCTGTATTTCAAAGCTGAAAGTACAGAGCACAGCAGAGTGAAATACAATGTTTTCTTCTAAACAGTGCTTTCTCTCTGTTAACCTTTGCAGTACGCATATACAACATCTATATGCATTTCTACAATGCAGTGCTGTTTTCATTTCTCTCCCTGTTACTACCTCTTTTTTTTCCTCTTACAGAAGAGAGATTTTTGTTTTCTCTCCAGCTAGAGAGAAATTAATTCTGAGCCTAAACACGGATCCCTGCCAGCAACAACGGATGACACATTATCAAAGACATCTGAGTAACTACGAGCCACTTGCTGCTGTAAATCTGGGCACTGTCTGACTTTGTTTTTGACTACCAGGCCCGGAGGTGGCTCAGCCCCTCAACGGCCAAAGGGGAGCTTCAGCCCTAAGCAGAAGGAAGATTTTTCTTAATTCCTAATGACAAATTGCAGATTTTCAGCCATTTACAAAGCCATAAATATCCTAAAATATTAATGAAAGCTGCAAGGGCTGGCTTTGAAGGGATAAACAAGATACATTATGAGTTTATTAATGCAAGGACATTTATCAGTACAAACAAAAATGGGAGCAGGAAGAAACATTACCAAAGTTAGGCAAATTCCACAGTAGAACAGGCTTAGAGACTCCTTACTTGGTTTTGTCCTTTTCAGGACTGTCTTACAGAGCATAAAACCCTTAAACAGAAATCCTGCCTTTCAGTAACGGTCACTTATTAACGACAACACTGTTAGCTTTGCATCTTGGAGCTTCCCAAGAATTTGGCTAGGTTGGGCTAATGAGCACCCCTAGGGACAACCATTTTGTGGTTCAGAGCATATGGCGGTGTCCCACCAGGGTGCCAGGCTGTTGTCCCCCTGTGGAGACTGCTCAGGAATGGGTCCAGTCTACTGGAGGGACCTACAAGATCATTCCCCTAAAACACAGGAGGTAGTATCATGCAGACTGTGTCATCAACTGATTAAGCTCCATCTTAAGAGCTACTAAGCACGGACATATTAGACCAAAGTAAAGCCCATCTTAGCTGAGCATGTTATCTGTGAGAGAAGTCAACAGCAATGCTTAAAGAAAGAGCACAAGAAACATGTATGGAGTCATCCCTGCCAGATTTGCTGAGCTGCCAGCCATCAGCAATTGAGGGTCTTCTGAGAGACTGTATCCAGACCAGTATTTTTAACAGCCATTGGTGGACCAGTTCTTCATGAATTGGTCTAACCCCATCTTGAATCCATATTTCTGGCCTCCAAAAGTTCTAGTCTCACAGGTGAATTATTAGCGTGGGGAAGAGTGCTTTACTTTAACTGGTTTAAATCTGCTTATCATCATTTTCCCTTGTTAGACATTTTTCGGTCTGTTATGCAAACCCCACCTGAGAAAGTGACTCCTATAATGGCTGATGCTTCTTGCTTCTGCCTGAACCTGCAGCAATACGAAAGACCAGAGAGCTTCTGTGCCTCTGGTGACTGCAAGAACAGCAGGCAGCCATGATTGAGGAGGAGAGGTGAAAAGCAAGAGGGAGAAAGAGCAATTTGAACTCCTTCTTCCTAAAATTCATGAGTCATGACCAGAGAGCAGCTCTCATCTACCTGCTCCAGTGCCAGAGCCGATTTTTCCTAACCCAGCATGGACTTTGTGTATTTCATACCATATGCTCTGTCACCCAGACCACAGGCCCTGAAATAAATACCATTTTTTCCACATCTCTAGGCTTACCCCTTATATTAAACATCACATATTTGTGTGGAAAAAAGTAGAAGAGAAGCAAGGTGCCTGGGTGAGAAAGCAGAAAACCGAAGCAGCCTGGCCATATGTTGGATCCACCCTGCGTGCAAGAGGGTGAGAGGAAAATGTCCCAAGGCAGCTGGTAGGAAATGACAGAGAAAAGTGTCGGGCTGTATTCTGATGCTTTAAGGTTAGACCAGGGCTCACAGTCAAACCTGCAAGTGGGTGACCACTACAGGGCCTCCTGACAAGTGCAGACGGAGGAGCAGAGGAGGCGGCTGCGGCTGTTCCCAGATTAAGGAAGGGAATGGTCCCACGGTGCTCGCCTGCTCCTTGCTGCTCGCTGAGCGAAAGGCTCTGGCTCTGACAGCCCAAGCATTTTCAGCTCAGTTCTGTCAAAAAACCCCGCCCAAATGCCAGACGGGACCACTTTTATACATAAAGAGTAGAATCGGTATTCTGGATTTTACAGGAGTAACACTGGCCATCCGAGATCTCTAGAAATCCATGGTAGCTTAGGGCATGCTTGAAGATTTCACATAATGGATGTGTTTCAAGTAGAAGTAAGGTATTTAAGACCTTCTGTGGACCAAAATTTAGTGATGGAGGTATGGCTACGTTTCCAATGCAATGTATTCCCATGTGGGAAAAATAATCCCAGATTAGATACAGGTTTACAGCTGCCATGGCCTTTTACTGCTGTGATGCTACAGCAGTATCCTTACTTCAGGAAAAATTTTGGAGGAAAGCCTTTTCCTAGACAACAAAACAGCCCCCACCCAAGCCTGACCTTTTCCTGATAAAACTTGAAAAAAAATAATCTGTATTTTTAGCTAATGCACTCTGGGTTCTTTTTAAAAACAGAGGTTAAAAATAAAATTCCACCACAAATATTGTTAAAAATATCACTGCCATCTAATTTTTTTGCAGGGCTTTGCCTTTGCCCCTCCTCCCAACAAGCTCAAACTCTGGCACCTGGTACTGAGAAGCAGAACAGATGTCTGGGGGAGGGCTGAGAGCGTGTGTGCCTGCAAGGAGTTGGGCAGCTGTGTGAGATACAGAAGGAATGAATTAAAAAAGGCAATCTCACATGATAAGGAAGAATATGTGAAAGCTATACATATACCACGAAGAGAGCGGAGTTCTTACTATTCCAGGTCATTTACAACTGCCCCAGTTGTCCCAAGAGTCCAAGTATTCTGGTAAAATTTATACAGCTTTATAAAGTAAATCTACAGAGCTGTTAAATACCCAGGTATTTCAGTTTTAAAGACAGATGAAAAAAAAATAATTTGTTGTATTTTATTATTTTTAAATAACTAAAGCAATTTTTCCTTCAGGCATCTTCACAAACGTGCTGGTCTAGATCTCTGTGTGCATGGAGATGTCAGATCACGGCACAAGGAAGAGAATGGTTCCCTCTACAAAGCCTCCTATCACCCAGCAATACATCCATGAATTTATAAACCTATTGTTGTAATAAACGAGCACATCATGAATATTTAATCAGTAAAAGCATTTCCCTCTCCTTTGCAGAATCAGCATTTTGAACAATTTGCTATGTTTCTGGCTTAGGTGTGCCTCTCTGTGTGAGCAAATAGGTGGCTGAATACAGAAGGCTTTCCTCTCTCAAGCTCTGTGTGACGACGTCCCATGGCCACTCAGGGGGCTGGGAGAGTCGAGTCTTAGACTGTGAAAACAATCAGTGTGTCACACTTTTCCTGATGCCAGAGGGAAGTCTGGGGGCTCCACAGGTGAGTGGAGAGCATCCTGCAGGCAACTGCAGTCAGTGGAGTGGCTGAATATTGAGTGAGGGCTTATGCATTTCATCCTGCCCTCAGCACAGCGCTGGTAGCAGCAGGAGGACGGCTGGACAACACCCTCCTTCCAACCTTGGAACTCTGGACCAGAATGCACAAAATCCAACATCCAGCGCTCTGCAGCTCCACGTAACAAGAAAAAAAATCATGCCCATGGAACAAAGGAAAGTAGATCACATCAGACAGGTCCCAGCATGCAGCAGATCTTTGCCTCCTGTGGGGCTCAGCGTTAACTTTTGAGGACATTTTCACTGCTGTTTATCATGTGAAAAGTGAAAATTTCTCTTTAGGTAGAAAAAGGTATGCAAAACCTCATAAATTGCTCATTAAAAAAAATCACCTTTTGAAAACTCCAATAAAATGAACATGTAGTCTTACGTAAATGCCTTTTATCTGTAAGTATGTGTTTCTATACATTTTCAATACTAGCTATCCCAAGCTGGCATAGAATGTCATGTCCTATATGCCCGCTATTCATTACATAACAACTATCAAATTTCTAACACAGCTTTTCAATAACTGTTGGTAGACGAAGCGACTAAAACAACAAGCACCGAAGCCACGCGTTCATCAGACTACTGCAAAGCACAACACAGCTCCTCGAGGATTTCACTGAATTAATAAAAGCTGCAAGATGAACTGTAAGGCCGAAGGGCAGTGCCACAACCCACACGCACGCACACACATGGAACTTAGGAATCTACGTGGTCGAGGGGGTAGTGTGAGATGGCTGCCTGAAGCCCAAGACATGAAAAGTCAACCTCATGACCCCATTTCTTCCTACGCCCTCCAGCCTACTAATCCTCTCTGAAGAAAAGCAGACCATTACGTAGACTATGGCTGCACGGTGCTGGAATACATATATATATGTATGTTTTAAATCTCTAAGGTGACCATTTCAGGTATGCAGGATAAGAAAGCCTTTGACTCCACAGCAAGAAGGGATACCAAAAACTAATAAAATCACCAAAGCACCAAGATAGACACCAGGCGATTGATCTTTGAGTTTAAAACCACAATAAATTGACATCTGTGAATCTGCCAAGAAAGCTACTCATCTGGAAGATCCAGAGGAGTGAGAGGGAGGAGGGAGAGAAAGAGAGATGATGCACGAGGTGAAATGGGACAGAGCTGCACAGTCACAGAGGTGTGCTGGGAAGGAAGAAGATGCACAGAGAAGAGAAGGAGAAAGGCAGGGAGGAAGAGA